CCCCTCTTCCTGTTCCTTGGTATATCCTTGGGAGAAATTTTTGAACAGAAGCATATATTTTTTTTAAATTGAAATACCGTTTGAGTTTTTAGTTTTCACAGAACGATTTAAAAGATGTACATTTTTCTCTTTATATAGCAACACTTACTGAAGCTTTGTGGTGCCTTAGATAAGCACATAAAATGTGATATTAGGGAAGATGTGAGGCTATTTTATCGATCTAAGGTAAGTTCTTGATGGTAAGATCTTTTTTAGTGTCATTCCCTTCTCCTGGTGTTGGGTCTTTCCCTTCCCACAGTGTTGGAAGTACTAAGAGTTCCTCCTAGGTTGTGGGGTTTTTTTTGTTTTGCTTTGGGTTTTYCCCCCCTAGTTTCTCTGTCTGCGTTTTGCCTGTACAGCTACATATTTATGCACCTATTTTAATGTACTGAAAATACTCATTGCTGGCGAGACACTGACAAATGTAACGTGCTTCTTTTCCTTTTAGTCCAGGCCTCTTAACTTTTAGAACCCACACAACTGCTCCTTTTCTTTCCCTGGTAGTTGATGATCATKGAAGGAAGCAATCTTCAGCTTTTAGGAGCAGAGGCTGTATGTGAGGCAGAATGAACAGGACCGAGAAGCTAGCCTGCTCCTCTTACACATCTATCTTTTTTATTTTTAAAATAGTTCAAGTTGTGGATTTAAGCCAATGCTGTATAATGGGGCATCAAGCTTGAATAATTGCCTTTCACTTGCTTTGTGGTGTGCAGCTGACCAGTAATAGTCCTAATGCTCTGACTTCCATGCTTTACATGCTGCTGTAGCAAGCAGCATCAGATCATTGATAAAGTGACAGACCTAAACTTTGAAAAGCCTTGTTTTTTTTTTCCAACTGAAGTGCAGATGTTTGACTTAATGTGCCTTCTTACCACTCAAGAAGGAGTGGTAAGAAGACTCCCTTTACAAGTTGATGAATCTTGCTTTCAATTTTTGCAGGATTCCTGCCTCTTTTCTTTCTATGACTCTTGTGCAAGAAGGGAAAAATCCATTCTCAGCTTTTCCCCTCACTACTACTCTATTTGCTTGATAGTACAGTAGCTCTCAAAGGCACCAGTCTGCTGGGGGTTTTGTTTTTTTTTTTTTTAATGCAGCTTATGAAACAAATCTTAGATCTAAATGACTTGTGTTAAAACACCTGCATGTAACTGGTTATGAAAAGCACAGTTTTTTGTATCAGGAATTTCTTTCGGAGGCAGACAGTGCTGCACAGTTGGCCTTAACTGCTGTGCAGACATCTCTGCCAGTTGAGAACTGTCACATTTCTGTGATAAAACTATCTTAACCCAAAGGATGAGATGGGTGTTTGGAGACCAGAGGCTTGTGTGCTGATTCTGAACACTAGCATGGGAAATCATCTGGCTGGAGTGTGCTTCTGTGGAAGTAACTTTGGRCTTTTAAATGTCCAAAACTTCTTGGATCTGCATTGAGGTGACAGTGTCCTAAAGAGTCCTAAAACTCTTTCTTCCCAGTAAACATTGTTGTCTGTGTAGGGAGGGACTGGCCTTTGTCTTGATTTCTTTCTTTATTTCTTTTGAAGTGTCTAAACTAATCAACCTACATTTGCAGGTGAAAGACTTGGTTGCTAGGATATATGGCAAATGGCAAGACATGATCCAGAACACTCGGCCTACTCAGGTACTGCAATGAAGCCCGTGAAACTTTTTAGATCTTTTGATATTGCAGAAGGGCATTTGGATCTGTCCTGAGCATTTGAAAGTAGTACAATGGATTTTTTTCTCTTTTTTTCTTTTTTTTTTGGGGGGAGTGGGGGACTTCATAAATGATGTGGCTGTGGAAGACACCCAGATGTGTTAGCACAGTCTTCTGTGAAATTCTTTTGACTTAAGATGAAATCTTGTTTTTCACTTTTATCTTTAAAAGTGCTGTTTTTTGCAAATGACTGCATAAGCCTTCAAAAATGCTAGTACTGAGTCAAATCAAAGCATGTGTCTCTGATCATAGCCATTAGCAGATGCTTTGGAAAGAGATTTAAAGAGTGGCAGGAATCCATTAATGCATTTCCTGCTATTGTCTAGCAGCRTGTGGTTTGGAGACTACCTGTAGTCCAAGGTTTTTCTACCTTTGTAGAATGATCCGTGGCTAAATAGTTGCCTGCTTTATTCTCAAGGTATCTTTTGCTTTTCTGAGTCATTTTCTATTTTGTTTTTTTGCTCTTTAGGGAAAACTGCATGATTTCTGGGAGCCAGATTTGTGAAAGCTTGCCTAGTTCAGGGACAATAGCAGGAAAAAAAAATGAACAAGGATCTTTCCTGAAGGCAAGGAAGATTTAGAATGAATGGAGCTACACCTTGGTTGGAACAGAGAAAATCAGATGCCTGATTAAACCTTGAGCTTGGTTTGAGAAAATGCTAAAAACACRGCTACATATTTTGATTGGAAATGGATTGATTACCAACATACTACTTAGGAAAAAATGAATGGGATATAGTGGGGGAAAGGATCATCCTTTTCTATACCCAGACTGAATTAACCAGTGTTTTTTTTTTTGCTTGTTYGTTTGTTTTGTTTTATCATATWGAAAGCTGAGGGAAAATTTCTCATTTGGTTTCTTTTGTTAGTCACCAATACATAAGGTCTTCAGAAAGGTCTGTGTGGCTGCCTGTCTGCACCTGTAAGTATTGGTTCAGTGTGACGAGGAAGGAGAACTGCCCCATGAAATGAAATGTGAGTTCTCAGCATTGGGGCTCCTGTTGCAAGCAGCTGATCGTTCAGAACTGGCAGCATAATAAGGTTGCCTACCTGTGCTTATCTGCAAAGCAGAATTGGCATCACTGTCCCCTGTCTGAATAATGAAAAATGCCCCAGTGGTGTGTGAGCAGGTGACTCTCATCTTGGCTTGAGTGYGGGAGCAGAGCTGAACAGCACGGTGCCTCAGCAGGTGGTTAGTTGGGTGATGCTTTGCTGCATGGCTGTGGATTATCAGATAACAAAACAGTGGGGTGTTTTTTTTCCATTATACTGCATTAATTAACTTCCTCGTCGTCAGGCGGCAGTTGATTTATGCAGTGAATGTGCCCACACAGGAGGCAATTCTGTAAGGCCATGTTGAGAATGGAATCCTGTTAGATAGGTGGCTCTTCACGATACAAGTTTACCTGTGTTTGTTACCTGGCTTCAGCACCTTTTTTTTTTTTTTTTTTTTTTTAAGTGGAGAAAATACTAAGGTATCAAGCCACGGGAGAGTTGAGATGATGGGCATTTGGTCTGCATATGTAAAAATAGCTGTGAAAGCCATATGAAGTCTGAAATCCTTTGTGCCAAGCGTTGTCATGTATTCGATGTGCTCAGAGCTCCAAGAGCAGTTTGTGAAATAATCGAAGGAAAATGTGGTCTCCTTTTGTGCTTTCTGAGCAAATGCCATCATTTAAATCTTACAATGTTTTATCTGTAGGAGGTATGTATATATGAACAATAAGGTATTGGGTAGAAGCACCAACTGGGATGTGCTTAAGAAGAGAGATTTTTTTTTAATATTACATGTGCATTTTATAATACTGTTCCCTTTTAATTTTTGTAGATTATCTTGTTTTGTATGATACTTACTACGACTTTTCAAAATGAGAAGGTAAAATAAGTCTCAAACTAAAAAATCAAAATTTAAGTATGTACATTGTAAGTAAAGGAACTGCTATAGAATAGACACATGACATATAGAGAAGGTATTGTCTTTGCAAATTGATATTAAATGTTTTGTCTTTCATCTRAAGCATTAGTGAACTAGTCTAAAATCCGTACCCTTCCCAGGATCATCAGCTCATGTTTGTTAGAACAAGACTTATGCTGATAGCCATATTCAGCAAGAGAAACAGCCCCCCCTTTTTATCTCAATATGTCGGTTAAGAATTGGAAGAATCTACCTCAAAGGGTATCTTTGTTTGGCAGCAGCACTGTTTTAGGTAAAAGTGACCTGGTGTTGTACAGGGCTGGCAATGCCACCCTCTGCTCTGTCTGTGAGAGCTCTAGCAGTTGGTTACTGTGTGAATAGCTTGTATGTAAYTTTATTAATGTTTATATTTTTCTCACTAGCACTGTATAAAGTTTAAAAAGAAGTCTGAATATGTTTAGTGTATCTAATGTGTATATATTTTTCTTACTATGTAAAGCTGAAGTTTCTGTCCTGTACATTTTGGGGAAGGGCTGGGGTTTAGATGAACAGCTTTTGTATTGCAGTTCAAAGCACACTGAAACTGCTGTATTTTTTGTTCCTAACTAAATAACCACTTCGAAATCTCTTTTATTTAGCACACCAATGAAAAATAAAAACAGACCTGCTTTTCTAATGAAATGTTTCTGAATAAAATGGGCATGCATCAACTTCTGTTTCACACAACATGGCTGCAGGCCCTATTTCAGTCGAACTGCTTAGGTTCACAGCTGATCAGCTTACTATAAATGGAGAAAGTCCTGAAGTAATTCCCAGCTCAGCCCCTTCTATGTTTTCCTGCCTAATGCCTCTGTATATATTCTGGCATTTTCCCTCTCTCTCCTGCTCCCAGTTGCCCTGGAGCCTCTTCCATCCATTTTGTAGCTAAAATTCCCCAGCTGCTAAAGTTTGAGTCCTAATTTTGCTGGAGTCTGTCAATACCTTGACAGAAATGACCCCGAGATGCTGCTGTGGAGGCTTACAAGGGACTGCTGAGCTGGCTACTGCTTCAGGACTCCTGGAAATTAATAACAAACTTGTTGCTGTTGTATTTTGCTGGTTCATTTACTGGCTCCCAGCTAGAAGTTACATGTATTGGAACAGGCTGATTGCACAGTAAATGTCTTAACTACTTTGGTTGTCTGCAGATAAGCATTTTGCACTGAGGTTTATCTTTTGATATTATGCTAGCTGTATTAAGAGCCATGTTATCTCATTTCATGTGCAATTAAGTGCACTTTATTGCAGTAATCACAGTCCAGAAATTAAAGGCTAACTCTAATATCCATTTATGGTGCTTGTGATTTTTCTTTTTTCTTTTTATTTATTTTTTTTTCTCCCGACAAGCTTCTGTATGACTTCTTAACTTGAAGAAACCTGCCAGTAAAATTGTTTGCACATCTCCTGTTCTCACTGTTGCCGTCATAGAAGTGAGTAATGGATGGGGCTTTCGGAGTGATTCATGGCTTGCAGGTAAGCCTGGCTCCAGGTCAATGGGACACGAATGCTGCTTTGATGTAGTGGTGGCAGGGGCTCTTTGAAGTCCCCAAAGCTGATAGCCGAGCTGAAAATCGCGTTGGSAAGTGCAGATGACTGGAAGTGTGCCGTGCTTGCTGGCAGAGGAGCTGGTAAAAGGGCCACAGGGTGGGATTTTAAAAGAAGTGGGCAAAAAAAGGCTCTCTCTAGCTTTTAACCCCACTCCATCCATCYGTCTCTGTGGGCTCGCACAAGCCGGCTGCGCCTCCTCAGCGGTGCCGCTGATGAGCATCCCATCCTGCCACCTCCGGCTCTTCGGAGACGCCGGCTGCAGGGATGGATACGAGGTGGGCTGGGAGGGGGACGGCGCTGTCCCTCGGAGCARCTGCCTGCACGTGGCTGTGTCCCACAGGAGACACTTTGCCTGGCGCCAGCAAGGCCACTTGAACAGCGTTTAGCATCTGTGTAACCTCCTTTTCCAAGGGAGGGAGCAGGTGACAAGCGGCACGGCTGGAGATGACCTGTTTTATCTCGGAGCTGTTTCCATGGTCGCAGGAGGTCTTGAGAAACTTCCTATTTTTGCCCAAATATTCCCAGTGGAAACCACCGCGCAATGCCTGAGGAGCAACTGTTGGTGCTGGAATATTAGTGGAATATTTTTTTTTTAGTGTTCTCAGGAAAAGAAGAGTTTTGGGCAGAGAAGCCAATCTGGGGAGTGGAGAACAGGTTGGATGAGCTCGTTGGGAGTCTGCAGGGCTTCGGAGAATTGCGTTGGCTCCGGACTTGGGCAGAGCTTGCRGAGGCCTGGCCCTCGCTGAGCACAGCGTGGACGGAGGAGCTGCCCCGAGGCCAGGCCGCCGTCACCGGTGGCTTTAACATGTTCCCCGTGGTTTGTGTTATCGGAACGCTCCTCGGGAGGCTCAAAATACCATCTTTCCTCCCACCTTCCCCTGGGGTGTGAAATATCTTGGTGTTTTGCCTCGTGGGTGCTTTGCCAGCTTAACTGATGGGACCAGTTTTATCTCGGTACGGAGAAGGACTTTCGGCGCTGTGGGGTAACGCGGGAGGGCTGCGGGGGGAGAGAAATTCCTCGAAGGGCCTCTCGCAGATGTGCTCTTTAGTCTTGCCCAAGTTCTGCTGCTGTGGGGCACTGTTTCTTCATCCTTGCCCTGAGGAAGGTGAGAGGCAACGCTTGATCTCGTGTCAAAGGCTGGGAGGGAGAGGCAAAGCGCTCCTGTCTGCGTTGCGGGTGTTCAGGCCTGAATGCTGCCAGCCGTTCCCCACATACTGTATTTGCAAGCTGTCTGCTGGAGCTGCTCTTCAGAACTTACTTTCATGTGATGTTTAAGCAGGATTTGGATGTGGTTTTACCTTCGTGTAAGTCTCTCCTACCCTTGTATGGCAAACTGCTAGCGGTGCCTCTTCTTTGGCTTTACTCTGCCCCCAGGTTCATGTCAGTGTTAAGTGATGGGATGGTAACCAAAGTGTTCTCTTGATGGTCCTCAGAGCTGCTTCATCCCCCATGAGCTTGTGGGGAGGCCTAGAGCTGTTCAAAGCGGGTTAGACCTCTGTAGTATGGAGAGGGGAGCGCATTTTCCTAGTATTTTCTTTTCCTCTGGATTTTTGYTCGGTGCAGCATCTGCTGGAGTCTGGGCGGGCAGTGTCACTTCTGTGCTTGGCCACTTCTGTGCTTGGGAGAAAAGCAGGACAAATGGGTATTTGCTGCTCCTGGCTGAGCGTCCCTCGCGAGGGCTGCGAGCTCGAGCTGCGCCTTGGCTTGAAGGCCCCGGGGCACTGCAGCCTGGGCCTGGCTCCCGCTTAAATCCTACTTAGAGATTAAAGGCCTGGCTCTCAGCTCAGGCAGTAGCAGGAGGGCCGTTCCCTTCCAGCCTGGCCGCCAGGCACCGCTTAGGATAAAAATAACAGCGCGGAGTCATCAGCCTTGGTGGAGGGGAGGGACGCGGGGCACCAAGTCCCTGTTTTATCCACGCAGCTGGCCGCAAATTGTGTGGGATCCAGGTACGGGATCCAACGCGGATGCATTGATCTGCATGCCTGGGAAGTGTCGGTCTGTATCCGGCCTTAGCCTGTGCTGAAAGGCAGGACCTGGCAGCTGGGAGGCTGCCGAGCGCTCCCTGCCTCCCCCGTGTGCCAACCTGTCTCCGCAGCATCGGGCTCCAGCGCTGTTGCCATGAGGTCTGCACAGCGCCTTTTCCTTCTGGATAGGTTTCTCCTACAGCCCATTTCTCGTCCTCTCCTTATTCTGTTTCCCCCGCAGTGCGAGGGCTGTTTGCTGGGAARCTCTCGGCCGTGCTCGGAAGGAGGAGTTGGTTGGAGCACCGGCGCTTGGAGAAGACGCTTCTCCTGGGAAACTGAGAGCACCTCCTTGCTTCCGGAGCCAGGGGGCTTCTCCAAGGCGCCTGTGAGTATCCTGGCTACACCCCAGCGGGGAATTTCACCTGCCTGGAGGTAGTAGGATGCAGTTGGATCCAGGATACAGTTTTATTCCTTCAGGAGGGACCGTCTGCGTGCAGGGGTAGGATGTGAGTTGAGCAAATTGCTGCTGCCTCAGTGGTTGAGGGCTCCTCAGCCTGGAAACAGATAATGAAGTGTAACATGAGGGAATGAAATGGAGAGTTGTAAAATGAAATGGCCTAAAAAAGAGTAAATGGAGAGTAGTTGTTCGGTGCCACTCTGCAATTTGAATTCAGGYTGT